TCCAAACCACCAACCAGATGGTCATTAGATGGGCATTAGATGGGCATTGGATGATGAGTACATTGAGATACATTGAGTAGATAGACAGTGGTTTAAAACAGTGATGAACTGGTGGTTTAATGATGAACGAAAACAGGAACTGGTCACTGAAGTAGCGAGTAAAGGCTGGTAACTTGCTGGTAAATGGTATCTAGAACCATGGTATACATTCTATACACCGCCAATCTTAAAATACTCCGCAGACTATCTGATTGCATCGCAGGATAGTTAGATGTATAGACTTAGTCTGTACCACTACCAAAGTATTGAATTGATCTGAATTGGCACAAAAAAACAACATCACTTAGCCCGATGTTCACCTCTTAGCCCATTTTTACGCTCCTCAAATTCTGTCTTGCTCACATCGGGGACTAACATCGCCGTAACCTCAGCATCGGTGCCATGGGGATTCAACCAGCGCCAAAGGTTCCAATCACCCGCCACGACCGGGATGAAACCTTCGCAAATTCATGGGGAATAGCAGGCTGGATGATGGAAAATTATGGAAAATTCATAGCCTTCGAAGATAGATCCTGCTAGTTGGCGAAGCTGGAACCTTTCATGGATCTATGTCTATAGTCCGCATTCACATCATGTCACATCCTTTAACTATAGTAACCATTCAGTATTTCACAGTCCTATGAGCCAATTTCATCCAATTTCATCCAATTTCTGGATATCCTCTACTTCAAATCCCCATTTCTGGTGATTTGTAACTTCCCCATGTTTCTCCCCCATCTTTTGTCCAAGGACGAACAGACCCCGGTACCCCGCCCTTAGGACCCCCGCTACTGGGCCCAGTTCTCGCATTTCGTTCTCCAGCGCGGGCGCAAAAAACCCAGGGAAAGGGACCTGGCGATGGTCACATTCTTGGCCTTTTACGGGCCCGACTTCTGGGTAAAGGAAGATTCAACTAACATCAAATAACTTAACCACTATTCTTATAGAACCGTTTTATGGAGAATATTCTGTATATATATATATATTACTACATATATAATGCTAGATAAATATTATAGTATATATTATACTGTAGTATATATAATACATTTTATGTTATATTAAAAATATATTATATTATATCATATTATATTTTACTGTATTATATTATTTTATTCCATAGTTAATATATATTATAAAATCTCATATCATACTATATTATATTATATTATATCAAATATTAAATATTATATTATATTATATATTATATTATATTATATATTATATATTATATTAAATATAATATTATATTATATTTTATATTATATTATATTACATATAATATTATATTATATATTAAATTAAATTATATTATACTATATTATATTATATTAAATTAAATTAAATTATATATTATATTATATATTATATATTACTATATATTTTTTTATATATTATATATTATATATTATTATATATTATTATATATTATATTATTATAGATATTATATTATATTATAAATTATATTATTTTATTTTAAATCATACCATAACATATCATATTATGTTATGTTGTATTATATTCTATCATATATTTACATATGTTATATTATGTTTTATTTTATTTTATATAAGGTGTATGTTGTCTTATCTTATATTTGTATTATCTTATATGTTATCATATTATTTTCTAATATATCATATTATATTGTATTATATCATATCATATTATATCATTGCTTATGCATTATACATCAAATCAACTATGTTATAATGTTATAGCTATTATTTTGGATGTATTTCAAATTATAAAAAATATATATGTTACATCATATATCACATTTTAAATTGTATATATTATATATCATTTTTCTATATGTTATATTATATGTTGAATATCACATATTATATATTATATATAATATGTTATATACTATATATATTATATTAGATGCAGGTTATATCATATTATATGATGTATTACATTATATTAAATTATATTATATTAAATCATATTATACCATATTAAATCATATTAAATCATATTATACATGTTATATGTATTATATTATGTTATATATATATGAGATTATATACTTTATATATTATATTTTATCATATACATACATATTTTTATTTTACTATATATATATATATATGTGATTCTTTGATATTTTACATGTATATATATATATTTTGTATTATATACATCTATTATTATATATTAATTGTATTATATACTAAATATATATATAATTATTTATTTATGTATAAAGACTCAAGACCACATTCCTTTTTCACACTGCTCTGCAAGACCAAGTTTGTCAGAAAAAGTGAGTAAACGAGCAAAACCATTCAAAAAATGCAAATTGAAACCGTCCCCCCCAGGAGCAATTTCTTGGTTAGGGCCCCTTGTCCTTATACCCCAAGAAAACCCGGCCAAACCCAAGGTTAACCTTGCCTAAGGTATATTTGGGTCACTTCAGTGCCTGGCCAAATCCAAGGCAACTGAAGACCTTCACCCATTGATGACACTCCCCTGGTGTTATTTTTTGCTCTTTTCCAACGTCCCCTCTTCTGCGAAGGGTTCTTCGTAAGCTCAAGCTTTGGTAAAGGCTTAGTGAGACTTGACAGATATTGGATGCTGAGATTTTTTGAAAAACGTGTCATGGGCAACGAAAGTTCCGCTATGGTAGCTAGCCCTTCATTCAGGCAAAGGCGGGCTGTGGCCGCAGCTTGCCATCTACCTAAAATCAAAATGGAATCAAAACGTCCGTGCAAGGTGAAATAATGTGTCGCACCTCCTCTTCTTAGAGAGTAAGGCCTGTAATCAATGCAGTCAAATCCTACTGCGGTAATGACTTCATTGAAAGTTTTGCGCCACTTGTGGGCGGGCCCTGTCAAAAGCGCCGTTCCATTGACCTGTGACTTCCACTGGTACAATCTACGACAGACATCTTTTGCATGTAGAGTGACACTTTCTGCCGCCGCCTGCCGCTTGCCGGCCTTGGTTAGGCCCAAAGAGATTACGGTTGGCCCTTTGGGATTCCCAACCGACACATGCTCGGCCTGGACTCCCAAAAGTTCCCCTGTACGTAGAAGGCCGTGAAACCCTAACAACAAACTATGTGCAAAGGTAGTCCACCCCTTAACAAGGCTATAACCTACCAAAACATGCAAAGCATCTTCGGACAAATGTGGCGCACGGTTTGGCAGTGGGTGACCCACGCTTTCATCAACCTCCAGCTCAACTTGAGATTGCCCTTCAAATGTGGCTGGGCGTCTTGGATCCCCGCTAGGATGTTGGAGCCTTCTGCTCGCCCCTTGCCCTGAGCCCAGAGGGCTTCCAGGTAGTCAAATCTTCAGTAGGCACTTTATTCTTTTCCTTCTCACTCAGTTCCTCCTTGATTGAAGGTCTCCTTGGAGATGATGAAGAATCTCTCACCTTAGATTTCTCAGATGGATGAGACGCCTGGCTTTCCCGTGGACGATGCGATGAAGTTCTGGTTCTTTTGGACCTGGCGCGTCTTCGGCTGCGGCTTCTGGGGCTTCTCTGCTCTCTTGACCTTCTCTTCTCCTTAGGTTCTTTCACTGAGGGCTTCTCCTTCTCTTTGTCTCCCTTAGCCTCGGGAGAGGTCTCCTTTGTCGCGAGGGTCCTCTGCCAAGGTCCCCCACAACTGCAGCCTATGGACTTCCCTAGTCCACCAGCTGGTCAAAAGACACCCGCAGCACCTCCACGGCCTTGTCCTGGAAGATGCTACTTGAGTGGCCCAGGTGCACCTCTTCGCCTAACCTCCTCCACAAGAGGCAAAGAGGGCACCCACAGGTCAACCGGGCCCCGAGAGGCCCGGGCAAGCTCATTGACGAAGAGCCAAAGCTGCGGTGTGAGAAACCACTCAAGTCTTTCCTCTTTAAAAACGGGGGCGTTTACCGTTTACCCATATTGTATTAAATCATATTGTATTATATTATATAATAATATATTGTATTATAACATATAATAATATATTGTATTATATTAGTTAGATTACATGATACTCTATATTATATATATACATATGGTTCACCAACAAATATGTAATGGATATGATATAATTGGTAAGGTGGGTTTGACCATAAGTCACCAACGGGGAGATGTGGATTGAACCCAGCAGCTTTCCCATCTCAATAAGACATAGGCGTTGGCTTCAAACGGTTTTTGGCGTTCCGGTAGTAGCATCAGAATCCATCTATATACTACCGGAATTCCCTATCAAGTAAGGGATATTCCCACTTATAAACCCAGCTTACTAAGTAGCTGCTACTTAGTAAGCTGGGTTTATAGCTTATATCCCTGGTTTATAAATGGGAAAATCTCAATAATGTGGGTAAAACAATGCCAAAAACCAACCATTTGGGTGTGGTAAGCATACCACCTATAAAAATGGTGATTTGGGGGATGGTTTATTATTGTTTTACCAACATTAAATGCGGTAGTAGAAGTCCTTATAAAAACTCATCAGCCAGGATATCTTGTTCGCTCACGTGAAGTATTGTTACAGCCATGACTTGTTAAGGCCGTCGACCTGAGCTGTTTGGGAATGTCTCTTACAATGGGGTACCCCCAAGTCACCATGGTTGTTAAATGGTCAACCATGGCTTGGATGATTTGGGGTACCCCTATGACTTAGGAAACATTCTTTTTTGAGAAACCACTTTTCAGTAATCCATCCCTAAATGTTATGTCAGTATTTGTTTCACGGAACATTCTAGTTAGCGTTTTCAGTCAAAAAGACTAACTCATGTTCCTTCACCACTAATTGTTGGTTATTGTTGGTTGTGTAGTTATATACCCCATTCTATTCCCACTATATCTATGGTTGGTTTGAAAAATCTTCCTTGATGTCTTAAGCCCCAACCAGCCTTTTTACCCGTCCGAGGGCTGGAATTTTCATGGCTCACAAATTTCCTGCTCAAAAACCGCCAGCGGGGCATAGACAAAGGCATCGGCATTGAGTGCTTCGACTACCTGGCGTGACGGGCCGCTGGGAGAGTATCTACTAATTGGGGATCTAGATAAATTAATGCTTGCATAATGAATGACGTAAGAACAATTGTTGATCTAGTACTATGCAGCGGGGATCTTACAATTGTTGGATGTAATAAATTGAGCAGTGTTCAAAACCACTGTTTGTTGATTATTATACGGAGTCACACTGTTCAATATAATTGTTGGATTATCACACACCATTATTGTTGGATATACCCTCTTGTTATTTAACATTGCAATAGGTATAGATGGCCATTTAGTTCGATGATTTATGATGAATCATAGGAAAAAACAACATGTGATTCGGTGAAATTCCATATATATATAATATGATAATATAATTAGCTACGTTAAAAAACCAAAAACTACCATTTGTGGATGGTTTATATCACTGATTCATGGTCATAATATTGGGGATGGTTAAAAACAAACAAAACTTCAACAAATTGGGTTTACAACATGAATAAACAATATTATATAATTGCAATAATGTTACATTACATATATGTCATTATTGGGGATGTTAACAATGATATTTCAACAAACTGGGTCACATGTTCCTAAGCATTCATCAACCCCAATGTGTCCAGTTTCGTTGTTTAAAAACAAAACAACGGTGCCTGCTCTCGGATCGTGGTGTAGGTGTGCATCACGGTGCGCGGTGCCCCCAAGACCTCAGAGCTGTCAGACTTGGATTTGCTACAGTCAATGACCCAAGTACCTGAAATTGAGGTACTGTACCATAGAAAACCCATATTTTTGGGGGGGCATATCCCCTTACGTAGGCCTTACATAGACCTGATATATGGATCTATATATGGTAGGTACCTCCAATTTAAGTTCTTGAAATGGTCATTGATATTTAGGGGATACAAACAATATAGTATAACTGATATACCGGAAAGAATATAAACAATACTTAGATTTGCGCACAATTTATTCCGATTCCATAGCATGTGGGGCCCCCGTTTACAAAATCACCGACTCAGTAAAGCCAAACCAAAACTTGCCGAATTTTTTTCGTGTGTCCAAAACAAATGTGGTAAACCCAATGATAAACCATCCCTGACCATAGATGGGTGGTATAAACCATTCCCAAATGATAGGTGGCCCGAGGTCACGAGGTCCTGTTGCCTCCAGACGTTCAATTGACATGTTGAAACCTCTATTAGTTCCAGTTCAATACGAGATACCCTCTGGTAATTTAACAGTTTGCTATTGAAAATGGCCATTGAAATAGTGGATTTACCCATTAAAAATGGTGATGTTCCATAGCTATGTTAGTTTACCAGAGGGTAATCATACATAATTTACATAATCTATCATCAATTCATCAGTTCGCTCATTTCAAACATGTCAATTCATCAAAAATGTCTTTCGGATTTCCCCAAGTTGGATCTGCTTTGTTTTGCACCTGGCGCCATGGCAGTGTGTCAAGCAGGGGCCAAGGGACGCAAACGGCCACCTTGGACTGTCCCAAGCCCTCGAAACCTGGCTCTGGAGTGGGTTTTTGTGAGTATGTAATAACCAATTTGGGGGTCGTTGTAAAACCGTTATAGTATCCTCAATACATCCCCATCACGGTCATGCTTAAACATGGTTAATACGTTTTGCTATACTGTCTGGTAATCAAACGTGGCTGGCTGGAAAATCTCCTATGGAAGTTTCTAGCTCACATTACCAAATTCAGGCAATCATTGTATTGACAGCTGTACATGTGCATCCATATTCTATGTATGTGTTCCTGCAGCTGATAACTGATGGCAGCCCACCAAGCATCTAAGGAACATGGAAGCGAAAGGGAGGGAAGAGAAGAGAGTGCCACCGGACACTGTGCAAAAAAAACAATACGTCAATAACTTTTGGATCAGGATTGCGCAAAGAAATCGGGTGGAGAACAGGTGATCTCATTTTGTCCAACACAGAATTAATTCACGCCTAGTCAAAAAGACTGAGGAGGCTTTTGTGAAACTGACGCTTCAGCTGTTCTGCAGGTGACATCTTCTGATGAAATCGCATGCCACCATATCACTATAGTGTCAGAGGCAGCGTGTCTTCCGGTGCTTTTGCTGTTCTTAAGGCGACGACCAAGTTTGACCCCAGTCGGCTTTGGTTTGGCCAAGGACGACTCGAAACCCAATGGGATGGAACAATGACAATCGTGGATTTGCGATCCAGCAACCCTCAAAAAAATCGAGCATATTCCCAGTTGAGATTCCCCTTTTCTAGCGGATTTCTCATTGAGAAAATGCCCAAAATCAATGCATGACGATGATTCCAGAGTTGTTTCACGAGTATCTCATGTCGTAGAGATCAAGGGAAAACCTCTAGGACACCGGTGCGGTGTTGTTTCCTATCAAATATGGGGTCTTCCTTTGGATCTTCAGAAATAGTGAAAAGACAAACATCAAAGTGCAATGAAGTTCGTAGATTGTTTATACTGTCCGGCATGGCCAGGGAAAATAATCAAACTTAAATGGTCCATTGGTATCATCACAGCATATTGTCGTTTTCGTAGTTCATGGGGGTTTAGTTCCCCTTTAGGGGGGATTCCAAACCTCGACTCTCCATGCCCGACTCTCCAAGAAGTCGGATTATCTGCGGAAGAATCCACTGCCCACCCCAACAGTTCTGACTAGTTATGATGTAATGTTATACATGATACATGATAAATGATACAATACAAATATATATGATATATTAAACATCCAGCCACGATTTCACCATTACCACAAGAAATTTATTTTCGGATCCCCCAAGGGGGATCCCAAGGGATCCTTCGGTGTCTTTGTATCTCGGCAAAATGGACGAAAAGTTGGCGTCGATGTGGTACGTCCACGGCTCGCACTTCCACCTGAGACAACAAAGGTGCCCGGTGTGGGGAGATGTCTGGAAAAAAATCCGCGAATCTCGCGAAAAAAGGCCCCATGGTTTAAAGATGACAGGAAATCTCCACCATGGATTGGAGAAATTTATCTATTATATATATAATATTGTAGATGTTATGCTATTAATATCTATATTTATATATATATATATATATATTAATATGTGCATATATATATATATCCATATGAATCGGGATGACTTATCCAACCGTCCCACTGGGGCTCCCGAGAATTTTCCGTCTAGTGGTTTGTTTTTGAGGTCGGAAATTTGAGGGAACCACAAAAATTGGTTACCCTCTTGTTAATTATATAATGGAATATCCAATGGTAATTATATTGCAATACATTCGGTAAACATTATCCATGCCTTACATTAGTTGGATGTAAGCAATTACCATTGGATATTCCATGCGAACTAAGCTAATGACTAACAGCTTGCTTTGGTATACCCTCCAGTAAAACCAGCATAGCTATGGAAAATGGGCCATTGAAAGTTCAATGATTCACCGTTTTTAAAGGTGGTGAATTCCATAGTCTTAGTTTACTTTAAAGGGTATCAGTCCTGTTTTCCCATCGTTTTCCCATCCAATTTTTGGTGCCCCAGATTGGGTGCCCCATTTTCCCAGAGAAACCATGGGAAAAGTCGCCTTCCAAGGTGTTCAGGACCTCGTGCAGCCACGCACCTTTGGCCCTGGGACGCGTCGCTTTCAGGTTTCCATTGACGTCATGGTACGAAAAAATCGCTGGATGGTTTATTGAAAATGGAAAATCCCACGAAAAAAGTGGATGTGATTTGGGGGAAGCAATGCTGAATGATATTCCGGCGAAAAACTGCAGCGCACAATAATATGACGACAATATCTTAAAGAGAAGTGGTTCACTGGCTGCGATCATGGCAAAATATGGCAAAATATGGCAAAGTATGGCAAATGTGCATGCCCTTTGGGAAACAAACTTGTCAATATGAATCCATTGCCAAAGATGGTCTATCCCATAAGTATCCCATGAATCTTCCAGAAAAACTATAGACATATCTACCAGAAACCATAGTTAACCATATATATATATATATCCCATTAAATCAATGTGTATATATATATAATATCTCAGTAGTTGAGGGTATCCAGAAACCATAGTTAACATTAGTTAAGCATAGTTAATATCCCATTACAAGAGGGTCTATCAGCCACTGACCTGTCCTACGGTGGGAGTAGGGTGGACGTCCAGTTCGCTGAATCTCAACTGGATTCATGATCACCGTGAAAACCCCTATCAAAATTTCTGTAGATATTCCGTAGATATCTGGTTGGTGGTTTCAACCCATCTAAAAAATATTAGTCAGTTGGGATGATTATTCCCGATATATGGGATATGTTCCAAACCACCAACCAGATATGATATTCTGATATGCTTTTTCTATAGATATTTGATGCCATAAATCCATAGACAGTTCACTCAACAACACCCCGGCTCCCACCTGCTTTCGCCAGGCCAAGTCAGATTGGATCTTCTTCCAAACCTGGGCCAGTGGGTACATGACCTTTGACCCAAGAAATTGTTTTTCCAACCGTTTCACTTTTTACCATGAAAAAATATTGACCAAAAATGGTCCCATGGTTTTACCAGCGGAGATTGATATTGACATATTTACCCTATAAAAATTGTGAAAAATGCTGGGAAACTCACGATTTAACCATCAAACATGGCGATGTTTTTTCTAGACGTTTTTTTTCCTAGCTACTTTGGGATAGATCTATTACTGCTTTCACTTCCGTGTAGATATAGTGATGATGTTTTTTTGGGGAAACCAACCGGAACTTGCGAAAAATTCGGTCCTCAGAGGGCCACGCTACTAGCTGGGACAACTCACTGGTTGGTGGTTGGTTTCTACCCCGAAAAGTTTTCTGGAGTGAACGTCAGTTGGGATGATTTTCCATTCCCAACTAAATGGAAAGTCATAATCCAGCCATGTTCCAAACCACCAACCAGTCACTTATAAAGGGTCTAACCCAGCAATCGGGAGCGGGGGTGAACTGCATGGGGTTACCCTTTCGACTTTCTCGTCGTGGTTTGTTAGTAGGGATTCCCGTCGCGGGTCAGAAAG